GTTTTGATTATCTTTTTCCGTTACTGAGAAAACGAATTTTTTCCAAACCAGTAGCAACAATCAACGTCTGTATTGTGCAATTTTCATCATCAAATTTCAACAAAAAGCTTGACCGAGAAATTCAAAAAAAATCGAAGTTCTCTAAAAGTTCTGTAGATCCAGTTTTTTATGTAGATTGTGATATGCCTTCGGTGTTGCGAAAAAATTATAATTTGATGGTAAAAATTGCACAATTCAGACGTTGATTGTTGCCACTGGTAAAAAGATAATCAAAACGACCTGTTATTGTTTCCCATAGGTATGCTGGTTAGAATTGCTCTTCTGTGAATCTGTAGAGATTTGACTGGTTTGCACGATACAAGATGGACTTTTCACCTGTTCTGCTTGTATTTGCGAAATGTTTTGATCACTTTTAATGTTAATTTTATTTTTATTCAGTTTTCTGTACTCAGTTTAACATGGAAAATTAGAATAAAGCGGTTTTGAAAATTAAAAAGATCCATGAAGATGAAAATTTTGATAATTTGTAAACATGTCATTAAATTTCACCTAATTAGAAAAGTTCAATATTTTAAAATTTTTTTATATGAAAATCGTTTTCGAAACTTTAAAAATGATATTTTCCCATGTGACTTGATCAGCTCTATCTAATCATGACAAAAAAAAGACAACATTTTTTCTACATGATTTTTGAATTGCCGGCACTTTCAGAAAAAAACAGAAAATTCGAAACAATAACTTGAAGAGAATAAAGAAAAAAATTTAACATATACCAAGAAAAATATGTCAAATAAACATAAGCACGCGCGCACACACACACACATACAATGCATTATTGTGATTTATAGTAATAAAAAATGAAAATTAAACTATCATTAAGCGCAACATAAAAAAAGATCGAAATGAGAAAGAACCGGGGTGAAAAAGTCTTTTCTTTTCTTTTATACATTTACTTGACTTGTATCAAAAATAAAAAACAAAAAAACAAACAAATCATGCGCGCACGTTGCTCCAGATTTACAACAGATAACCATAATCACAGTGTAAAACGTACATACATACACGCACACGCATGAGAAATCAATATCAAATGTGATTGATTTTAAGGCAGAAAAAATGTTACAAACAGAATGAAGGCCACTATTTGAACAAAAGATAAAAATTAGTTGGACCATTCATCTATAATTCACGTTATCTTCACTACTTGACAAAGTATATATGAACTGGAAGCATAAAATATTTCTACCGTCTGTCTTAAAGTCAATTTTTTTGCTTCTCCGAAATAAGGCTCTATGTCTAAAGCAAAAACCGTTAGGCTCCTATTGAATTAAAAAAGTAATATATATATATATATATATATATATATATATATATGGAGAGAGAGAGAGATATACCGCGCATTTGATCAGTTTCTGAAACGCACACGCACTCACACACATAAATGTACAGAAAAAAAAGTAGACGCAGTAAAGTACGCATTGGATACGATAGTGTAACCAAAAAATAAAAAATAAATACAAAATGTTAGATCCATTCTTTTTTTTGGCTCATGTATATTATGGAGGATGAAAACGTGTATATTTTGCACTGTCTGGATGAATTTCCATTTCTGTACTTTTATATTCATTTAATTCTTTACGAATAGCTGCTTTATCACGTGGTGTTAAACGAACCCATGGTTTATCACCTCGACGATCAATTTCTTCAGCCTCTGTCACTTCAATGTAATCGCAAAAACGAATAATTTTCTTTTCACGTAATTCTAGAAAATAGACAAAATAATTTTACATGTAGTATGCATCCAATAGTGTCAACTGCTTAAGAATGAGATTAAGAAAAATAACTAACTAACAGTCAATATTGATATTTGCAAAATTTTCTGTTTTTAATCAAACTCTAACCTCTATCAGATATGAGATTACAGGCAGTCTACAATTTATCCTTAATCGTATAGTAATATTTTAAAAAATAACATTGTATTAATTCTTACCTTGTATACTTGGTCTAAAACTTAATTTTCTGATAAGAAATCTTTTCTTTTCTTCTTTTTCAGCGATTAATTCAGCTTGTGTTTTTAACCTTAAAATATTTCGTTGTTCTAACTCTTCTGGCGACGGTCTTAACGATAATTTTCGTTCTAATTTCGTTTCAATTCTTTCACGTTCATTTTTACGTTCATCTTTATTAACCAAAATATTTTTATCATATAATTCAGTCACTTGTGGTCTATCCTTAAGAAACCGTGCTAATGAATCATTTCGTTGCACATTAGCAAAACGTTTTGAAGTTGATTCAGTCGAATTATAATTTGGATTATTTACATCATTTTCATCATCATCGTCCATATCACTATCGGATTCACCGTTTTGATGTTGGCTATCTTCATCTTGTTGTTGCTGTTGATGATGTTTATTAGTTAACACAGATGTTTTTGGACTTGGACGTGGACTTGGTCGTTGATTTTCTCTTAAAACAGGTATCATTCGTCGTTTCACACCACTTTGCTTTTTTAGTGCACTTTTTTCAGGTTTACGAGAAAGATCCGGTTCTTTTGCTGGTACTTCTTCGTACCGTGTCGTATCAATATCTTGAACTGTTTGTTTATTATCGTTTGATGAACCATTTTGAACAGTTGTTGTTGTTGTCGTTGATGATGTAGAAGGAGACGACGTAGATGCAGATGGAATTGAAAATAATACTTGACGAGATTGCTCACTGATACTGATCGGATTGTTGACGACGGTTACATTTGAACCTGCCTATAATAATAAAAATAAATTTCATTCTTAAATTCATCTTATATTTATTTTATCTCAAGATAAATAGTTAGTTATTATAGAAATAAGGCAACTAAACTCATACATCGATACTATTTACATGATTACAAACATACCACGTTATTGTTATAATTTGGTGGTGGACTTGTGTTGACTGGTGAGCATCGTAAATTTAATTTCTCTTGTAATGCAATAATCGCCGCACTATTTGTACGTTGTTGCGAAGGAGGTTGTGATGTTTGTACATTGGCATAAACAGGTTGAGATGATACTACTGGTACAGTTTCTTCTTCTTTATTGTTAGAAGTATTGTGAAAAGATGGTAATGTCGTCTGTTCTATGGGTGTAAAACGATTTGTGATAAATTTTTCTGGTAAAACTTTGATACCAGCTCGTTGTTGAGACGGTAGTATATTAGAATCTGTTACGTTAGGAGATGCGCCGATAAAAGACGAAGTATTAAAATTAACATTATTTGAATTCGAATTGGAAGACGCAGAAGTGACGGGAAAAGACACTGAAGATGGAACTACAGTTGAAGAATTTGTGTTATAATTTGTTCGAATTGGCGTTAAACGATTTGAATCTGGTTTTGGCGCAACTAGAAGAGAAAAAATGAGATGTGACAAACTTAATTATATTGCATAGCTGATATTAAATGTGTTTAGTACTTACCGGGTGGAGGAATTCTTGGAACTGTATTAGTAGTTGATAACGTATTTGTTGTTGTTGTTGAAGTTATTGTGTTCGGATTCGTATATGTCACTGATTCTGATGTTTTAAATGGAGAAGATGTAGATTGTAGTGGAGATATTGGAGCATGTTGTTTTTTTGTTACTGTTGGCGATGAGTTATTATTACTATCGCCATAATGTACCGGTAAAGCTCGTTGTTGTGGCTTTTCAGTAGTATTTGTAATTACAGACGAATTATTATCATTATTACTATTATTATTTGACATTGTCCACGGCGATTGAATATAACGATTTTTTAGTGATTCACTTGTCGTTGTATCATTCGTTGCGGAAGACTGTGCTACTTTTTCTGAAACAATAATTCGTTGATGTTGTGGAGTCGTCATCATTGACATTTTTGTTGGTGGTGTAGATGTAACAATACTATCAACTGATAATGAACGTAGCGTGGTAGTTATTGGTGGTGGAGATGATGATGTGATACCAATAGGTGTAAAATTTTGATGTAGTTGTAATGGTGGTGGTAATGTTACTGGAAGTTGCTGTTGTTTTTTACGTGTACGCCATGATGTAAAACCTTGACGTAACATTTTTTGTATGGAAAATTTATTCATTCGTTTTAACGTTTCTTTATCAACAGGATTTGAATTTTCATCATCATTATTTCCTATATCATAACCTGACGCAATTGTCTCTTCATTTTGATAATGATTAACAGATGTTGGTAAATTTTTTTGTGACGCTGATGGCATTGTATTAGATTTTAAATATTTTCCATTTGTAGATGAAGCGGTACTAGAATTTGTAACCGCACTTTTTGGCGGATAAGAATCATAATCGTTTGTAACAACTTTTCGAGATGTAATAGGCGATGAATTACTATTATTGTTATTATTATTATTATTATTAAAATTATTATTATTATTATTATTACTAAAATTATTCGTGGTTATACCATTTGATGTACGATAATGTCGTTGATCAGATGCCATCGATGAAGCATCCTAAATATAGACATAAATTAAAAAATTAAAAAAATTCATTTTATTCTAAATAACAAATGTTTCTCCTTTGTTAAAAACTCTCTTTATATCATCTATACAGTTGTAGTAAAAAAAACTAAAAAAAAAACAACAATTTGTTGACAGTTGTATATCTGAATGTATTTGATTGGAATGATTCATCGGACTATTGCAACGAAAATGCTCATTTTTCACTTACTCCTGTATTTACGAAATTCATCATATTATCGTTCTTTTTTTTTTCTTTTCTTTTTTTTCTTTTACATTATATGACTCTATTTCGATCATTTTACGTTTTTTTTTTATTTTTCTCTTCTTTTTTGAAAAGTAAATTTATTACAAAACTACGTATGTGTGTTTGTTCTCTTATCAGCAGCAACAGTAATAAAAATAAAATATATACAAAGTGATAACTTAATATTGTTGAACCGCTGAAGAAGAAGTAGGGAGTGGGTGGAAAGAACGAAGGATTTTTTATTTTATTTTATTTTATTTTTTTTAAGAATAAAAGTCAAGAATAAGTATTAAAAAAATGAAATAAAATAAAATGAATTGTTAATTTATTATACGATTCTATCTAACATTATAATATATCACTACTATATTGTTATTTACTCAAATTTTAACACAAACTGGCACCATCTAGAATCATAGAAAATATATGAATAATTTTAAATACTAATGTATGTATATATTTATATATAACTGACACAACCGTAAACTTTAGTGTATACATTTAAATCAAAGAAGAAAACCTTGACATCACCTTTTTTTTTCTCAGTTTATTTATCAACTATCATTAGTTTTTGTGATAAGTCAAGAACCAAATGACCGTATATATTCAAAGTTAGAAATGTCATTAAAATAAAAAAACTTTTCCCTCGCGGGTTATATAGTCTACCTTGATGATAGTCTTTTTTTTTTTACTGATCCTTCATAATACGATCAATCAAGTGAAGTTCTGATTACATTTTTTTTTCTTGTTGAAAAAGATAGAGAATTTGGTTTCTTTTATATCTTCTGTTATAGGAAAAATACGCTGCACAACTTGATAAATATTTAATATCACACTATTAGTTTGTATTGCAATAACAGCAGCACGACATATGTAAATCAATATCATTCTTTTTTTCTCTCTCTATATATCGTTAACTTCCTTCATAATTATACAAAATTTATTACAACAGAAGATCTTAAACATGTATCTGGGGAAAAAAAAATCACTCTGTTAAAATAACAAAATAAAACAAAACAAAAAAAATTGGACTATTTATCAGTACTAAAATATGAAACCATTACATATTTTAACAGTCTCTATTTTCTCTTCCTATTCCCATATGTTGTTACATAAGATAATAAAATCAGTATTATCTTTCCCTTTTTATAACAAACACTTAGTATAACTCATGGAAAAGTCTCTTAAGAGAGTGACACACACACACACAATTTTATTAGAATTTTTCTTTTAGAATTATTAAAAACAAAGATTTTTTAAGAAAGTAAAATGTTATTCGATTAAAAAACTATAATATTATATCTTTTTGACTTTAATAGTAATATAATGAGTAACCACTCACGACAATTCCGTAAACATGTACAAAACTAAACTTTGATAATTAAAAAGAAAAGATATTTATTGAAACTGATGTTTTAGTAGTTTATTGGTTAAAATATTGATTCTGAATAATCATTGTCCTATATTTGATTCCCAATGGATTCATATGTTGTTGTTTTTTTGACAATGTTTATGTATCAAAGTCGAAAATATAAAAATTTTCCATCATTTTTCTTTTTTTAAAATAAAGAGACTAAATAATACAATGTAGAATGGTGTATCAACATTTATATCAATAAAAATGATCTGATATTATCCTATTATTGAGATTTAATTTGAAAAAAATGTTATATATTCAAAGATCTGATAGGAAAATAGATGTTAGTTATTGTTTTTTGTACTGCAATTAGACACAAAAAGTAAACAGACCATTTCTATAACAATCTTATCTTTATTTTAAAATTATTTAAATTTACATATACAACAGACTAGAGAGATAGTCTTATTTTTGATTAATTAATTATAATAAAATTCATACAACGACTAGTATAACATGTATACATTTTTCCCTACCTTCGTATCATCGGGCAACTGTTGTTGAACATTATTATTGTGTCGGTGATGTAGACGTGAACTATTTCGACCCATATGGATGACAACAAAGAAGAAGAAGAAGAAGACGAAAAAAGTCCAATGAAGAAGACGAAGAAGAAGAAGATTATTTTATTTGTTTAAATACTCCTAGTATTACTATTATACTGCATAAACAAAACAACACATAGGTTTTTTGTTTTGTTTTTTAATAATACAGCCAGTTCTATTTCGATTTCTTGCTTCGTTTCCAAGTGCATAAACGAAACGATACTATTGTCTCGATATAAATGTGTAAGTCCAATGTAATAGACAAAATGAAAAAGAAGAAGAAGAAACGCATGCGCGACCATCTACAACGCAATATTTTATCATTTTGCCAATAACGCATAAAAGAAGAACAAGCGAAAGAAAGAATACAATTCTTAAGTAAGAAAGAAAAGAAAATGTTGTTAAATAATCACATTTTGAAGGTTAATAAGATGCTACTAGTTCATTTGTTTCGTTCTAACATTACTCTATAGATATATATATATAGATATATATATATAGATATATATACTAAAATTTTGACATTTTCAACTTTTGAAATGAAAAAGAGAAAATTAAAAAAAAAATTTATTTTATTTTTTATTTTAACATACATTCAAAAAAAAGAAGAAGAGCAAACATTCCACTACTAATTTTTATCTTATAATAGTACACTAACATGAATATTATGTTTTTAAAAGTAATGATAATATGTTTAACACACTATAAACTCTTCTACAGTAAGATAAACAATAATAAGACAAAGATTTAGTGTAATGAATCATGTTGTTAGAAGAAGAGATATTAAATAATATTCAATCGATTCATTCTTGGCTATTCATCTTGATTAGTACAATTCGATTTGTCGTTCATTTATCTTATTTCAAAATGATAAAACAACAGAGAACATCTTGATTTATTTTTTTTTCAACAAAAAACAATAATCGTTCAAGTTTCAAGTTGCATCGTCAATATTTCTTCCAAATGGGGGAACATTTTGAACAAGAATTCAATCTCTCACAAGTATGACATATATATATATAGAGAGAGAGAGAGAGAAAAATGTTGGAATTTCAATTTTCATTAACTATAAATTCTATTAATGTAAGAAATGATTAAGTTTTAAAATATAATTAGTAATTGGTTAAAAATGATAAATTTTCTTTAAAATCTCTCTATTCAAGACGATAGATGAAAGATGAAATAATTTTTATTTTTTATATCAAACGAGTCAGTGCGGTATGGTATTACTAATGAAATCGAATTTAATCAATATCGATAATATCTGTTATTGTCTTCTCAAACAATTTATTAGCATCATGCGTGTATTAAGAATTTTAAAAATGACATTATTTTTTGTTCAAAAGAATACCAATTAGTACAGAAAATGATTATTTTTTCTTAAGAAAAAAACGATCATTATATAACGTTTTCAACATTGACAATGAAAAAAAAATTTTCTTGTATCTACAGTTTCTCTGTCTCTCTCTAAATCTATCTTAATTATTAGATTTAACTAGTCAATCAGTTAACATGCGATTGAATTTTTCTTGATTTTAAGTTTTTAGAAAAAGAAAAAAAATTATTATATCGTGAGTATTTGAATATACAAAAGAAAGTGAGTACAAATAGTTAGTCACTCTTCGTTTTCATCACAGTATAAAAGACAAATCATTTGTCGAATATCATTCAAACATAGACAGTTAGATACAATGTCTCTATTTTCTACAAAAAAATGTTTGTATAATAAGCTTTATTCTGTCAGAATACAAGGAGAGAAAAAAAATGTTACTTTCAAACAGATATCAAATGCCAATGTTTAACGATTTCAATTGATGAGAGAATATATTTCATTATTGATTTATTTACATCATTTTTGTCTATTATAGATCTATTTAATTATGTCTATCGTACATAGACATATTTATATCCTAATCTATCACCCCAAAAGAAAAACGCCTTTTTCTCTTTTTCTCATAACTATCGTCTATATCAAATTTGTTACAAGAAAAAAAAAAAAAAGAAGAAGAAGAGCAGGTAAGAAAATGAATGAGTTAAAGAATTTGTAAACTCTAAATATCGAAAACAATTATTTTTCTCGTTTGTTTTTCTTCTTATCATTGTCAACAACAGGAACAAGGAAATAGACAACATATAGAAGATGAGAAGCAAAAAAGAAAAATGAATAACATATATAATTTTGTACAAAAACATCATAGTATCACATAAGTAATTCAATGTCAATAATAGATTTACTGATGGCGAGAGAGAGAGGGAGAGAGAGAGAAACAGGAAAAAAGACGAGAGATATGTATTTACCTTTTAGGCTACTAGTGTGTATGTTAGTTATGTTATTATTACTATTATAACTACAAAAGGATAAAAACAGAAGGCTACTTAGACAAGGGTACAAACAAGTCATGTTTGTGATCATTATCAAACAGCTGTGACATCTGGATCTAAAAAAATATACAAATACAAAAATTCGTCTCCTATTGATGACACTTACTCATGTTTTGATTTGGTGGTAAAAATTTGATACTGATAATAAAAGATATTTTTATACAAAATAAAAATATGCAAAAAAAACTTGTATTATAATCAAAAAAAATGAGCGAAATGTATAAAATCGATGAGAATCAAACAATACTTAGATCCCGGTTTTTTTTTATGCACACTTACACACAAATGAAAACCAAGATTTCTTATTGAAAGATTTTTAGATATAATTTATTATTTCTACGGGTACTAAAATTGTTTTTGATGATTTTATCACTACTATTTTCTTTTAACTAAACAGATGATGCCATAAAATTGTTTAGAAGAGAAACTCAAGAGAAGAAATTTAACATACATATATTTTCTTTTGTATTACATTATTATTAATTGCCATCAAAACATCAGAATATGCCAGCTGTCAAATGGGAACTGAGAAAATGAAAAGAAGAAGAGAAAAAAAACACAATAATTTGTTTTCGTTTAAAAATATTAGTTTCTTCTTTAAGAAACTAGATAACAAAAAATATAAAATATACGTATGATTAAAGAATATTGATGTTAACTAGACTAACATTACTTTAATTACCGTAAAATTGTTCATTTTTAACCTTTAACATGTGTATGATGAAAATGACCTTTAATTGAAATAAGGATAAAAAGAGTTAATGAGGCATAACGTATACATAATTGATTTTTGTCACTAATGTAATTTAGATAGTTGAAATCGAAATTTCATCATTTATGCACACGAATTACAATATTATTTTTTCAACACTTTTCATTTCTTATCTAAATCATACGCGTCTAATATTCATTAGATTAACAGTACACTAAAAGACTATGGAATTCGAATGAGAATATACTTTTTCCTACGAATAAGAATATCTATTTTCTATTTAAAATTGAAAAATTACATCAATTGTTTGAGTTTTATTACGTAGATGAATTAGATATTATCGGATATCTAATGGTACAATAAAATACATTTAATGTTTTTAGAATTAACTATTCATTTTAATGGATAGCAGACAGAAATGGTAAAATTTGATAGTTTTAAATGTTATTCGTCATCTAACTTATTCTTATCTATAGAAAATTTCTCTACATTATGAGATATTTTAAACATATTTCATGAAAAATTCAGTTTGTTCTCATTATTTCCTCTGAATTGTAATCATTTTTTTTCTTTTCAATCATTTAAGATAAGATTTTAGATTATCGATAAAACTCCAAAGTTATATAAAATGCTCATTCTACAAATAGTCTGTAATGTTAGGTTGAAAGAGGCCTAAAGAAGGGACTATTGTTACTATTCATTTTTGTATTTGAATTTTTGTCTATTGGAGGTTTATGAAAAATAAATACTAAAAAAGAGCTTACTCTATAAAGATGAACTTCTTTTTTTACTAAAACTTTTATATAACTTTTGGAGTCTCGATACACTAGATGAACAACTAAATTTTTTTCTTCGATCGTATAAATATACTTTTTGAACAGTACTATACACTCATTTAAACTTACAGTAAATTGATAATCAAATGTCTCATAACATTCTTCCTCATCCTCCTCGTCATCATCATCATCATCATTATCATAAATGCCAATTCGTGTATCATGAAAATTGACATATTCTGACATTGTATGATCGAGATGATCTCGTGATTTTGAATGACTATTATTACTTGATTTTGATTGTCCTCGTCGATAGACTCCATAGACATTTGATGCATATGGGACATAGGGTGATGATTGTTGTTGACGTAAAACATTTAAACGAGCTGATGATGAGGGTCTGATAATATCCGTTGGTGGTAACATCCATTGAATAGCTATTGGTGGAGATGGACGATGAGATAAAATATTTTCGTATGATGAACGACGTAGAGATGATGAATTTTTAGTAGATGATGGTACATGTTTCATAGGATATAGTATTGGTACCGGTCGATGGTGGTTATCGTTCATTGTTGTACAATAGACCGTAAGAGATAAATTTGACTAAGTAATGTATGTGTATTTATAAATAATATCTCAAATATGTGTATATTATGCGAAAAAGAAGGAAGGCTACCTGTCATTTAAGCTAGGTCACTTGTTGAGTTTTTCGTTTTCACCTTTTACCCTTTTTTTTCGAAATTTTTCTTCTTTATTTCATTACATTAATACTATATATATATATATATATATATATATATTTCCTTTCTATTTCGGTTTTATTATTATTTCTACATATAAAACGCATACATGCATTATAGTCAGGTGACAAAAAACTATGTCATGTATGTACAAATCAAAGTTTGATTTTCTTTTCTCTCTCTCTCATTTTTTCTCTTCTCATTATAGGTGTAAATATAAATAAATATATGAATAACGAAGGGTAAAATTGAAATTTTAGAAAAGAGAAAGGCAGAGAGAGAGAGAGAGAAAGAGAGAGAATAAATAAAAAAGAAAAAAATTGTTTTATTTTAAACACCAAACCAAGTGTATTTTTAATCATCATTGAGTATAGTTACATAAAAACGAAATGAAAGAAACAAAAAAGTCACTTATAAATTATTAATTTTGTTTCGTTCATTTAAACAATGAAAAAGCCAAAAAAACAAATGACAAACAAGTAAACAACAGCCCTAGTTATACTTTATATTAAATAAATGCACCATTATACTTAATTCTCTCTTATTTATAATGTTCGCTACAACATCTTATTCAAGAATTATTTGAAATGATAGAAAGAAAGCAAATTTCGGTAAGAAAAATAGAACGGTTTTCATTGCTCCATCTAAAACGTTCAAATGTGCAAAATTGAGTATTGAATCAGTTCTGTCGTATTTTTTCTCATGTAAAAATTATATTTCACTATTGTTAATAATAAAAAAATGAGAGTTTAACTAATTGAACAATTTATTTAACAAGAATTACTATGTAAAATATCTTTTCCTTGTCTACTATTTCTAATAGAGTAACAACATATTTAATACAATAACGACTAATAAATAGATAATGTACAAGAGAAAAGAAACAGAATTTTAGATATTGATGAAAACTTTTTAGAATTCTTTATGTACTCTACTACTGTCATACTTTTTGGTTTTACAGAGTTTCTCAGATTCATATAGAGATAAATTATGATCTATTTTAATTGTAAAGATAGAGAAATAAGCAGAATGAAATATAATCTGACAAATGAAACAAAATAATTATAATCAGGAAATATGTAGAATTTTTTTCTTATTCTATACACACTTTATTAAATTTGAACGAACTTACCAGAGTTGAGTTGTTATATTACTCGATAAAATCGATATTATAACATTGTTAGTTATTGATCTTGATTTACTCTTGATTTTATATCTAAAAATAGAAAAAACTTAAATCTTAAAATTCAGAAAGTATTATGTGAATATCAGGATCAGCATTCCATTAAAGGTTCATTTTTCATTCTAAAACTCAAAATTTACCCGTAGTAAGATAAAGAATCAGTTCAGTCGGGATTATACTATAAAGAGTGAAAAAATTCACAGATGATGTATATAAGAGTATAGACATAAAATCTGTGATTTTTCTACTAGAAAAATTTTCTGTTTATAAATTCTGACTTCTTCTATACAAATTACACTAGTTGTCATTTGATAAAAAACAGTATAGATTAGTATAAAAGAGTATTACGAGAAATGACAAATCGAGTAACATAGTAAAAGAGAGTTAATATTGAAAATACAAAAATAGTGTTCATTGAGCGAACATGAAAACGTAGTAAATGGAAATAAATTTTTTAAGTAACAGCATATAAAGTTCATGTACTGTTTTTCTCAAATCTCTCGCCAAGTGTTCACACTTTGTATTTACAACAACGAGTACAAAATTTGTCTCTAACATTTTTTCAGTAAATCACCATCACGATGATAGCTGTGATTTCATTCATAATCTTGAAGATTTGTTGACATCAGCCATTATTGAACATTCTTATCTGCTTTTGTGGTTGAATTAGATCTAATAATGTTGTTCATAATGATAATGAAACACCAATATTATAAAACAATGATTCGATATGTAAATCTTCTACGAAGCGTAGTCATTTTCTTGGTGCACACTTGACACATATCCTTGAGATAGTTAAAAATACCAATTTTATGATCAAGACGGTAACATTCATCGATTGAAATTGATGGATATTGGATCTAATACGATAATTCTAACTACGATGTGTAGTTTACCATAGATATTCATCAACGCATTTTTTCATGTGTAACTGACTTGAAATAAGTCAATGAATCTCTCTGTTTGAAAACAACATACAGCAATATTTTTTCACTCCTCTCTGTGTAAAAGATTTAGCCTACTAATAAGTAGGTATTGTTCACATGTTTAATTGAATTGAAACAAAAATAATTTGATTAGAATCCATTTGACAATATATCTAAAGGAGAAGATAGACAACAAAAAATACATTTTAACTAGGATTTTTATTCGAATGCAACATACATAGCGAGATATTATGGTAGAGAAGGTTCATTTTGAAAAAAACACTATAGTAGAAAAAATAGCGTAGAGGCAGCTTTGGTTTTTATAAAACTTCACTCACTCATCCTCTCTTTTTAGGACTCCAAGAAAAATGACGAGCTCAAACTATTTATGCATTCTGTACCTAGTTAGATTTATTCAAGCTAAAATTTATTCTGATTGAATATTAATTGAATACAATTCTTTTGTGATGTATGAAGGGTCATGAAAAGTCACAGAGAAAAACATCGAAGGTCATAGGAACGGCATGCTCTGGCTGTTAGAGTAGTGACACAAATATGAGGGAAGGAGGCATTGGGACATGACTCAATGGGATCCGAGTCATAACATACCAGCTGTTTCGTCTTGATGATGCATTAGCAACCAAAACGATTCAATTTTCTCCGAATCACGATTCCTCAGGCTTACTCGATTTCAGAATTTATGAACTTAAGCGAAGCCATTTAACTCAGAATAAGTCGGATTCAGAAAAAACACGTCTCAAAACTTTGCTTTTCGAATCTTGTTTGCATTCAGGCGAATCGGTCACCGAATTCTGTTTTCAGCTCTACCCTCGTTCACATGCACATATTATATCATTTTAATTTGATCACCTGAAACCAGATTAGCATGAGATTTTAGACACGCATGCAAATGTAATCTTATGAGTTCTGATATAGATCTATCTTTTTTGTCTCTCATCAGTATGCAACACACTGAAAAATGAGTCATACTAAAGGTATCGTTTGGATTGGACGAGATAGACAAATCAAATAATAGTATAACATTACAAAATATATTGATACTCCTTACAAGTGTACCAAGATCTTTATCATTATATAGACAGTATAAAGTTTAATTAATAATATGAGGATTAATTTTGTTTTTATCAGTCACACTGTTTTACTGGATGTTCTTATAGTAACAGTTACAGTGGAAATTCGTTAATGGTCGCTCATAATGTGCGTCAAAAAAATTCGTTTCACGAGTATGGGACTGTAGTATCAGCCTCAAAGACTTATACTTCAAAAACAATTGCTGTTTTTAATAAAACGTTAATTTGAGAAAAAATATTTTAAACTCTAAGAAGAAGATTGCTAATCCTTGCTACTTGGTAAGGTCATAAACTTGTCTATAAATAGCAAAGTATATGCCTTACATCATAGACTGCTTACCGAGTTTTTTTTGTTGAAAGTAAAAGAACTTTTATCCGTCATTTTGGCCAATGTGATCATCACATATTTCTTGTATGATGAGAAATATCAAAATACAAAAATTGATTGTTATTTACATGGGTACGTGGAATGTTTTCTTTCATATTTTCGCTGTTATTATTATGAGAAGAAAAGACGGTTTTTGTTGACTGGCGTGTGACATGAATAAAACTATTCGAATAGGCAAATACCTCATTCCGTAAAATTGTGGCATCCAATAAGTAAATAATGTTTGCATACTTTTTATATTTTATAATTGAAAACATTTTCTTTCGTTATACTATATAATCTGCGTAATTTTAGAATTTGCAAATGACAATCATTTTATGACGTATTTGATGTGTGCATGAATGAGGTTTCTTTTCTAAAGAAAATACTTTAAAAATGATCACTGAATCTTTTAAAAAGAAAAGTAAAGAATTATTAAACATTAATACGTAAAATGTTTGTTTTTCTTTTCTAGATATTATAAAAGCTTATTTTATTTGAGTTTATTTTTTGAATAAGAATGATAAATGAATGACTACGTACCAACGTCAACCGTTTGTATCCTATGGAAGACAGGGTTTACCAAAAACAACAGCAAGAAATCGCGATACGCGAATAAATCAACGGTATTATGTAAAATTAAGCTGTTGTGTTATGATGAATCGACTTGTATTATCACACGCCGATCCGATATTTATTTATTTTATTTAAAAATTTAGATTACACAGTGAAACGGATAGTAATAAGTTTATATCAAATAAACCGACATCAATTTTGAAAAAACCACCGAGAAAAAAGCAGCTACAACAGCAATATCAGGACAGACGGCAGCCCGTAAACTATGTATCAACTCATGACATAAACAATACTGGCTTTGTTCCACACAGCTTTCGCTATTCACCTATTTCAACTCCACCAAGACTACGGACGTATGTTTTTCCATTTAACAAGTATACGATAGAGCACTATCCTTCTGTCGATGTTGTAGTTTGGTCACTCCTCCAGGTCCTGAGAGTTATCGATATGATTCACACTTATTTGCAAGTCAATTACCGTCATTAGACGGTTGGAGGTAGGTATAACAGTTATTCATTGTCATTCTTGTATTGTAACACTGATTCTCCTTTAGACCACCATTATCCTTTGACACACCGGGGATTAATCCCTTAGATTATCGTATAAGTAGCCCCAGTCTATATCGATTTAAACCATCACCATTAT